GGCCTGGCTCGGTGCTCTGTGACTGGACGTGCCAGAGCCTCGCCCTGGCTCGGCTGGGCCCTCGCCTTGTAAACTCGGCGCGCCGAGGATTTATTAGATGTGCGCCTTTGGTCTTGTGCCTTCCCCTCCCGTGGCAGGTTTGCCAGCGAGGTCCGAGCGGCTCCCGGTCCCGCCAGGCGCCGCGGGACGGGCTGCGCGCGGTTCGGCCCTCGGAAGGCCGCCGGTCGGGCCCGCTGCTGGCCGCTGCCCTTGGGGGCACCGAGGCCGATTGGGTACCCCCCTCCCCCCCTCCTCCCCCAGCACCCAGAGCGCGTGTCCCTTCTCCTGCAGTTTAAAGGCAAAGGCAGGCTTTTCTGACGCTTCCACGTGAATTCGTTGGGCTTCCAGGCGCCGGGGCGCCCGGTGGCATCTCGGGCCGCGCCGGCGGCCCCCACCCACCGCCCTCTGTGGCGTCCCGCGTGGCGGGGACCTCCCGTGGCACAGTTACACATCATCTCCCGAACATTCGGCGGAGCGCCGAGCTCGTTGTTGGCAGCGCACTTGGGACACGAGCGCTCTCTGGGCTGAAGTCGGGGGGAAGGGGGGGCGGTGAAAGGTACCCTCGTATTTATGCCGCGTTAAAATATTTTCAGTCCTGGAAGGAGAATATCAATTCAACTGAAACATTGGAAAATGTCTCTCCCAGAATGAGAGTGTATGGTTATTACAAGTCATAAAGCTTCTGAAAGCTTGCATTAAAGCGTCCATCACCTGTCAGGGGCATTTGCATGAAATCAATAGTGGCCGCCCATCTATCTTTTCTGATCACCTTTCATCAGGCCGATTCATTAAGTCAAACAGTCATGGTGATTAGCTGGGAGAGAGGAGACACCGGACACGTTAGAAATGCACAGTGGGCCACCCTTTTTGTTCCCTAATCAAGCAACGTAATACTTCATCTAATCCTCTTTGGCCCGGGTGGCTCGGTGAGACCCAGCCGCCCGGCCGGCCGCGCCACAACTTTTGCCGGACGCCCTCGTCCTGGGCAGGCAGAGATATGACAAATTGTCCCCAAGTCAACGCTGACAGCTTCTGATGATTAATGGTTTGATTATGAAGTGGTTTTACACATACGGAATTTACATCACAGAGAGTTGGACGGCCGCGTCACACACGCGGAGGCGTTCTGAAGAGCTTTACTATTTGCAAAGAAAAAAGAGGGCGAAATCGCAGCAAAAGCCATGTCATGTAAAATCAATACGTCGGATCAATGCTTTATTAACAAGAAAATGTCTTACTTCACATTCCTGCGTGGACCTTTGTCTCCGGGACGCATGAGGGGATGTCAGATCCTATTGTGGCCCTCGGCTTACGGGCGCATCATCAGAGCGTCCGTGCGCGTGACCCACCGTGGGTGCTGACGCCGGCGCTCCAGGAAAACGGTGACCGGTTATTTCGGAGAGCGCTTTCAAAGGCAGCCTCGAACCTCGTTCCTCGAAGCCGGCGCCTTTGTGTTCCCCGCGCCGTGCAGACCCGCTGAGTTGGGTGGTGTTAATCATCAAATTACGTGCTAATGAGTGATGGCCCAAATTGCGGCTACGTAATGAATAGATGGCGGCAGGTCCTATTAGGCTCAGAAAACCCCCTGATTTATGTCGTGCCATGCACCGTGGCGTTACTCCGCCGAAAACGATATCTACATCAAGAAGTAATGCACTCTAATAAGTATTTTCATCTTAACTCGCGTCCCCGGGCCTCCGGGCTCAGTTTTTGTTGGAGTCAGGCAGAGCCATAATAAAGCCCAATGGCTCCTTATAAAGCTTGTTAAACACGGAGTGTGCAGTCGGACGGAGTCCCGGCCGTGATTCATGCACTGTACACACAGCGCGTGTGCCGCTGATTTATGGCCGCGCACAGTTCATAGTCAAAATTACAATTTGAGGGATAAAAAGATTAATTACTATTTGTGGCCGGCAATTCCGTGAGGCTGGTGGAATGATAGTGCTCTACATCAGTTTGTAGTCAGCCATTCACAGATTATTAAAGCTTTGCGAGAGTAAGTGCGCCTCCTGCCCAGTTTGTGCTCAGGCAATATGCTAGACAGAAAAGGACCACAGGGATAAATCTGAAGCTAGCAATGGCTGGACATATGTCATAATTGCCAGTTTCCCATAAATCCCTGGCCAGGGTGGAAGGCACTGCGTGATGCCGGCAGTGATCACGACAGTGGGGATTGCTGTACGTGGCCCCGAGACTTGCAACTTTCTGACCGCGCCGCCGTTTCTGCACCGTGTCGAGGAACCCTTTGCCTTTCTTCCCGTCTAATTATAGATTAGAGATAATCGTCGCCTTTATGTGCGAAAGAAAGGGGGAAATCCGTTCCTTGAGACAGAGCTGGCGTTGGGGGGCGCTTGCCTTCAAGAGCGTCAGACAAGGAGAATCACACATTTATTTGTAAGCGTGCAATAAACGAGTAATGGATGACATAAAAGTAATTAACCTGACCTACATTTCTGTGTCC